AGAGTTCAGTGCAGTTTTCCCAGAAGCTCCATGACTTGTGATGATGTCATCGCTCTGACAGCTGATGGAATGTGTGCTTGTGTATTCTTGTGTTTTAAAAAAAGTCTCACAGGAATAAAGACACAGACCTACTAGAGAATGGACTTGGGGATATGGGGAGGGGGAAGGGTAAGCTGTGACAAAGCGAGAGAGAGGCATGGACATATATACACTACCAAACGTAAGGTAGATAGCTAGTGGGAAGCAGCCGCATAGCACAGGGAGATCAGCTCGGTGCTTCGTGACCGCCTGGAGGGGTGGGATAGGGAGGGTGGGAGGGAGACGCTAGAGGGAAGAGATATGGGAACATATGTATATGTATAACTGATTCACTTTGTTATAAAGCAGAAACTAACACAACATTGTAAAGCAATTATACTCCAATAAAGATGTAAAAAGTAAATAAATAAAAATTAAAAATAGTCTCAGTTTCAGCTTCTGATACAGTAAATATGTTTTGCATATCTAAATACTTATTTTTTATTTCTTTTTTTTTTAGCCTCACCACGCAGCTTGTGGGCTCTTAGTTCCCTGATCAGGGATTGAACCCAGGCCCTCCACAGTGAAAGCACAGAGTCCTAACCACTGGATCACCAGGGAATTTCCCATTTCTTTTTAAAATTGAGATATAATTGACATGTAACTAATACAGTAAATATTGCTTGATAGAACCGAGGTAAACAAAAGCTTTTTAGGGCCCTCCATAATTTTTAAGAGGGTTAAGGAATCCTGGGGACCTGGGATTAGTATCTTGAGCAGTACCCCCTCTATATCGCTGTATTTAACAGGCAACACTAACTTTCGGAATCCGCCAACGCTCTTGGGAGCTAGAACGTTCAAATCTCAATCATTGCTTATTAAAACAGTAAATCCATTCTACAGTGAAGCCGTACAAATTTGGCTCACTGTGAATATAAAATGTAAAACCAGTTCAAAAAAAAAAAAAAAAAAGTAAAACCAGTTCAAAAAGCTGTTTGGGGCTTCCTTGGTGGTACAGTGGTTAAGAATCCGCCTGCCAGTGCAGGGGACACGGGTTCGAGCCCTGGTCCGGGAAGATCCCACATGCCACGGAGCAACTAAGCCCGTGCGCCACAACTACTGAGCCTGTGCTCTAGAGCCCGCGAGCCACAACTACTGAGCCCACAGGCCACAACTACTGAAGCCCGCGTGCCTAGAGCCCGTGCTCCGCAACAAGAGAAGCCACTGCAATGAGAAGCCCGTGCACCGCAATGGAGAGTAGCCCCCGCTTGCCGCAACCAGAGAAAGCCCGCGCCCAGCAACGAAGACCCAACACAGCCAAAAATAAATAAATAAAACCAATAAATTTGTATATTAAAAAAAAAAAAGCTGTGTGGCAGTTTCTGCTAAAGTTAAATATGTGTCAGTTCTAAGACTCGGCAAGCCCACTCCCTGGAATTGAGGGTAATGTCCACCAAGAGATTTGTACAAGAATCTTCAGAGTAGCATTATTCATAATAGCTCCAAACTAGAATCAACCATCAAAAGGAGAATGGATATAAATTGTCATCCATTCACACAGTGAAATGCTCTACGTCAGGGGTTGGCAAACTATGGTCGGTGCACCAAATTTGGCCTGCCATCTGCTTTTATAAGAATGACATTTCATGCCACATGAAAATTATTGAAATTAAATTTTCAGTGGCCATAAATAAAGTTTTACTGGAGCCCAGCCATGCTTATTCATGCATTCATTGTCTGTAGATGCTTTCACACCAATAGGAAAATTAAGTAGTTACAACAGGGACCATATGGCCTGCAAAACTGAAAATATTTACCATCTGGTCCTTTACAGAAAAAGTTGGCCAACCACTGCTATACAGCAAAAAAGGAAAGAACTACAATTATATACAATAGTAGGTAGAGTGAAAGAAGCAGACATAAGAGTACACACTGGTTTCTGTTTATAAGGTCCAGAACAGGCAGAACTTATCTATGATTAAGTAAGTCAGAAGAACGGTCTCTTGGTGGGGCTGTCAATGGCCAGGAAGAGGGACAAGGAGGAGTTCTGGGGCGATGGGCATGTTCTGGATCTGGATCTGGGTGGTGGATACTCAAGTATAGACATATGTTAAAATTTACCAAGCTGTACATGTGTAATATGTGCCCCTTTTACTGTATAATATGCATGTTACAATTCAAAATTTTTAAGTGGGAGGAGGAAAATGAGAGGGGAAAAAAAGTGCCCATCTCCAAAGGTTTATAAAGAACTCGGATGAAAACCAAACAAAATGCTGAACAATCATAAAGACAGATAATAACAAGTGGTAACAAGGATGTAGAGGGACTGGAACCCTCATACAACTGGTTATGGGAACATAAAATGGTATAGCCACTTTGGATAACAGTTTTTTTTTGTTTTTTTTGCGGTACGCGGGCCTCTCACTGTTGTGGCCTCTCCCATTGCGGATCGCAGGCTCCGGACGCGCAGGCTCAGTGGCCATGGCTCACGGGCCCAGCCGCTCTGCGGCATGTGGGATCTTCCCGGACCGGGGCACGAACCCGTGTCCCCTGCGTTGGCAGGCGGACTCTCAACCACTGCACCACCAGGGAAGCCCCCGGATAACAGTTTTTGATAGCAGTTTGGCAGTTCCTCAAATTGTTAAACAGAGTTATCATATGATCCAGTAATTCCATCCTAAGTATATACCCAAGAGAGATGAAAACATACATCCACACAAAAACTTGCACATGAATATTCATAGTGGCATAATTCATAAGAGCCAAAAGTGGAAGCAATTCAAATGTCCATCCACCGATGAATGAATAAATAAAATGTGATATATCCATACAACGGAATATTATTCAGCAATAAAAAGAAATGAAACACTGATACATGTTACAACATGGATGAACTTTGAAAACATTATGGTCAGTGGCAAAAGCCAGTCACAAAGGGCTTCCCTGGTGGCGCAGTGGTTGAGAGTCCGCCTACCGATGCAGGGGACATGGGTTCGTGCCCGGGTCTGGGAGGATCCCACGTGCTGCGGAGCGGCTGGGCCCGTGAGCCATGGCCGCTGAGCCTGCGCGTCTGGAGCCTGTGCTCCGCAACGGGAGAGGCCACAACAGTGAGAGGCCCGCGGACCAAAAAAAAAAAAAAAAAAAAAAAAAAGCCAGTCGCAAAGACCACGTAGAGTATGATACCATATTTCTATGCAATGTACAGAATAGACAAATCTATAGAGACAGAAAGTAGGTTAGTGGTTAGTAGCGCACGTGCCCACATGCTGCAACTACTGAAGCCCACGCACCTAGAGCCTGTGCTCCGCGACAAGAGAAGCCCCCGCTCGACGCAACAAGAGAAAGCCCACGCGCAGCAACGAAGACCCAACGACCCAATGCAGCCAAAAATAAATAAATAAATAACCCAAGCACTAAAGCTAAATCTTCCACAGCTAAGCCCTTCCATGTTGATTCACTGAAAACATCACTCATCCAGTTTAACAAAGGGCTCTTCTTGACACAAAACTCCAACCATTTCTAACACCTCTAAGGCTTCTCAACCCAAGAAATGCTTGTTAGCACCTGCTTATTATGTACAGTGTACCTAAATGTACAATGCATTTTCTTTTTTATCTGCTTCCAGAAAAAGGCTTGAAATAAAGAGGCTGTAACCAGTGGAGCTAAACCCTCTGATCCCACCCACAGCCTTTATTTCCCCAAACCATCTGACTCAGTTTAACTGGCCTCATTTAGCAAAACCCTCTAACTTGGAGGTCAAGTCCAAGTGACATTCTGTCCCCAAAGCCAGCCAAACTCTCTAAGTCTTTAGCAACTTTGATCAGGAAAACGTCCTGCCAGCTGTTTCCCCTCCCTCTGAGGGCAACCCTAGCACCCTCCTCACCCATCGTATTACCCTGGGTTGAACTTCTGGCCAGAAACCTGCTGATTCTGCTTGGGGCAAAGAAAGGAGAGGAGGTAGGAACCTTCAGACCATTCCTGTGTGAGGCAATAGCAGGGCTGGGGTTAGGGTGAGGCAAGCAGGCTCCTATAGGGAGCAACATTTAAGGAGGCGCCCACTAGAAGGTGCCAGCCCTGCCTTTGCACCACCCTGAGAATGAGCGCCCCCTTAAATGTTGCGCCCTGGATTCCTCTCTTGCCTCACCCTAGTCCCGGCTCTGGGCAACTGCATGCGCCTTCCTCCAACAGTGGCTCTGGGAAGAGAGGGCTGGGTCTCCCCCTCAGCCATGACCTTGTAATTCCAGCTCCCAGTCAAATTTTATGAGACTCCAGGCCAAAGGAGTTGCCCCAAGGTTATAGGAAACGCCATAGATGTTGTTGACTTAAGGGGATGGGCCAGAGACACATCTGCCCAGAGCCTCTTGGCTCAGTTTTTCACCTGGGTTTATTGCACCCTTCTCCCTGAGACAGAAACTCAGGGATCAGGAGTCCAGGCCCCCAAGCCCCTCTTCCCTTTAGTCCAAAAACTCCAGGCCACCACCCTCTCGGGGACCCAGCATCCAACTCACGAAGCGCCCGAAGTGGATGGGGTCTCCATCTTCAATGTGCATGTCAGCCTGGGCCCCACTAAGGCGGGAGATGACAGACTGGCAGCCGGGGAGTAGGGACCGCAGCAGCCCGGAGCCGGTAATGTGGTCCGCATGGCAGTGGGTATTCACTGGGAGAGAGAGGAGAGCCAGGTCCAGGAGGGCACAGAGAGGACGCAGGATTCCCAGCCCCCAGCCCCCTCCTCCCTCAGACCCAGGAGTCCCGGTCCTAGCTTCCCACTCCACGCTACAGTCCCGCGCCCTCAGGCCCAGGAGCCCGGCCCCCAAACGGACCAGCATACAGCAGCTGTAGCCCCAGTTCCTTGACCAACTGGGCATCCCGATGCGCTGTCTCCAGAACCGGGTCGATCAGAATGGCCTCTCTGGACTCTCTGTCACCCAGGAGGTAAGTGTAGGTGCAGCTCTTGGGCTCAAACATCTGGAAAGGGGGTGGGGACAAGTGAGAGCACAGATTCAGACCCCCCCTTACTGTGGGCCCAGGAGTCCAGGCCTCAACTCCATTCTCTTCCTAAGATCCAGAAGCAGAAGCCCCTGTCCGCCCCCCCTTTTTTTTTTACTTAATGGGTTTATATTTAATATAGTACTTCTCACCATGGAGATGTTACCCGTTAATATAAAAATTTTTTTGTTTTCATTAAACATTAAATCTCTTCTCCATTTCAATGTCAATATAAAGTATTTTTTTACATTAAATCTTTTCTCCATTTCAACGTTAGGTACAACGAATACATTTTCTAAACTTTTTCCCCCACCAAGAGATAAATTTTAATTTTTGACCAACTGTATTTAATATCTAGGTACAATATTAACTTGGGAGATAACGAAACAAAAATCCATTAAAAATATGGAGAAAAGACTCCTCAGTGTTGGCAGAAGGCAGTGACTATAACTAAACAGTGGCAGTTTCCTAGGATTCTGGGCAAGAGTTTTCTTCTTCCTATTGAGAATTCTTAAACTATGAAATATTACTTTTGCAAAGTTCAGCCTTCTCACTTCTTTGACCTTCTTTCTAACTAGCAAATGCAAATTACAGATGGCATTTTTCAGTGCATTATTTGTTGTGAAGAAAACGTTTTGTTTTCCATTTAATATAGTATATCAATTTGTTCCTATTTATAGGGAAACCAAGACTATGAAACTACCCTATTTACTGTTTCTTGGGAACTTTCAGACACCAAAACTCAGTTCTGAACCTCAACAGCACAAAGGTTTTCAGGGCAAGGTTTGATTCAGGAGGTCCTTCAAAGTCACATCTGTCCATTTCTCCTTCGTGCATATACCCCCAAACAAGCACAAATGCCTGTAATACTGAGAAAGAGAGCGATTGCATCTCTGGCTTCTACTGCTTCAACAACAGGCAGCACCAAAAGCAATGAAAAGAGAACTGGGAACAATTGTGTTGAAACTAAGATCATGATGTTGAGATCTTGAGGTGACTGGTTCTTAAAGGCTGAAGGTTTCAAAGAAAGCGGTATTTGTTTAATTCTATCAGTTCAGGATGCTGAGGCTTAAGAGGTTCCACGTGACAGCGCCTTCAAGTTAGCAGCCATTACAGGAATCCCCCTGCCCGGAGTCAGGAGTCTGGGACCCCAGCACCTTACTCCGTCGGAACCAATGAGTCCCAACTTTCATCCATCCCCAAACCTGGGTCCCCGTCATCCTCTTCTGTAATGGAAGCAAGAGTCCAGCCCGAAGCCCAGATCGGGGTCCCAGATCTGGGACCCAGATCACTCCCCTTTAAAGGACGCAAGAGTCTAGCCCTACACCCCTTTCCGCAAAGATCCAGGCGTCAGGGCCCGGGTATCTCTCCGGATTTAAAGGACCCAGGAGTTCCACCCCTGCCGCCACCCAGGATCCAGTAATCTCGCTCCCCGGTCCAGCCACTGCGAACCTGCCGTAGGAGGATGGGGGCTCCAGACTCGCTGTATTGACTGAGCTGCCGCCCAGCGACCCTCAGTGCAGACCCCGCCATCGCGCCCGAGGCTGGAGACGGAGCGGTGCCAGCGGAAGCCGAACGCACCCAAGGCTGAACCCCGGAGGGGCGGGGCGGGGCGGGGGCATGGGCGGGGCCCGCCTTAAAGGGGCCACAAGTGCCTGGGGCCGAGGGCGGGGCGGAGCGGAGCAGAACCAGGCTGAGGACCGATGGGGAGACTTTAGAGACGGAGAAGACAGGAAGACTCAGAGGAACAAAGAACAATCACCTCACACCAGTCAGAATGGCCATCATCCAAAAGTCTACAAACAATGCTGGAGAGAGTGTGGAGAAAAGGGAACCCTCCTAAAGGCTGGTGGGAATGTAAACTGGTACAGTCACTATGGAGAACAGCATGGAGGTTCCTTAAAAAACTAAAACTAGAGCTACCATATGATCCAGCAATCCCACTCCTGGGCATATATCTGGACAAAACTATAATTTGAAAAGATACATGCACCCCAATGTTCATAGCAGCACTATTTACAATAGCCAGGACACGGAAGCAACCTAAATGTTCATCGATGGAGGAACGGATAAAGAAGATGTGATATATATATACAATGGAATATTACTCAGCCATAAAAAAGAATGAAATAATGCCATTTGCAGCGACATGGATGGACCTAGAGATTATCATACTAAGTGAAGGAAGTCAGAGAAAGACAAATATCATATGACATCACTTATATGTGGACTCTTAAAAAATGATACAGATGAACTTACTTACAAAACAGAAACAGACTTCAAAAACAAATTCATGGTTACCAAAGGGGAAAGGTGGGGGTGGGGGTGGGGTGGGATAAATTAGGAGTTTGGGATTAACATACGCACACTACTATATATCAAATAGATAAACAACAAGGTCCTACTGCATAGCACAGGGAACTCTACTCAATATTTTGTAAAAACCTATATGGGAGAAGAATCTGAAAAAGAATGGATGTATGCATATGTATAACTGAATCCCTTTGCTGTGCACCTGAAACTAATACCACATTGTAAATCAACTATACTCCAATATAAAATAAAAATTAATTTTTTAAAAAACCAGAGAAACAAAGAACAGGGAGATGCTCAAAGGGCGAGGGAGACACACTGGGAGAAGCACAGACTTCTCTCCCTGGAGAAGGAGAAACCCAACAAGAGACCCCAATACACTCATAGCCCCAGGGCCATTTTATAGGAAAAGCAGGTGGTTGGACCTTCATTGTTACAAAGAAAAAAACGTTTGGTTCAATGTCATTAGTGTCTTGAGGGGCTGTTGGTTGAGTGCCTGGTCCCAGAACAAGAGATTATCCCATTAAACTTTATTTAAAAATCACTTAAGTATTTTACCAGGAATGTTTATGTCTTCCCAGGAAGAAATCATTAAAAAAAATAATTTTCCACGATGTCTTGTAAAATCAGATTGGGGATCATTTGGCTTCTCTTGGAATGTGAACCTCTAAAAATGGCTTTTGTTCATTTACACCAAGGACCTAGAGTTGAGACAATGTCTAGTCATGGGCTGTCTGAAAGCTTGCTCTTTGGAATCATATCAGTAGTGAGAGTAGGGCATCCCACTCTTGTCTGGAGGATCTAAGTCACTTTGTCACAGATACAGAAGGCCAACTGTGCCACACCATTCGATATAAGGGACTTGCACATTTGCCAATTTTGGTATCCATGGGGGTCCTGGAACTAACCCCCTGTGGATACCAAGGGAAGACTGTGACTCTCCCTGTGTTTGGGGAGACAGCCAGTACTCCCTCTGCAGTCCTCTACCCTTAGCTACAGCAAATCAATAAAACCCAACTTTGCCAGACTTCTAGTATATTCCTGGTGGGCTTTATCAGGGGAGAGACTCAGGGAGCCACTCAGAGACAAGGAAGATGCTGAGACTCAGTGATAACAAAGAGAGAGAGAGAGAGATCTGGAGAGACTTTCAGAGATACATTGGGAGATACAGAATTGAAATGGGGTGTCTGTCAAAGAAATATGGTCACTTAGATACACTCGAAGATTCCAGGAGATCGTGGAGGTGGGAGGAGATGTGGGGAGCAGGGAGCATTAGAGAGGGGAGAAATGTACAGGGAGAAGGACAGAATCTCTCAGAACAGGGAAACACCAAGAGAGGGGAGAAACAGGCAGAAAGAAAAGCTCAGACTCAAGGAGAGAACTTGGTTCAGTTATTCCTCACATTGAGGTCTCCTGAACGTCTGGTTCAAGCTGAGCGAAACTGGAGACCCAGAGGTGAGTCCTCAGTCTGGTTGGTCTGGTTGGTGGGGGAAAGAGGTGCAGACATCAGGGCTAAAACAAGGAGAGGTGCAGGGATTGCCTGGAGCTCAGGGGAGAGAGAAGCCAGGAAAACAGGGACTCTGAGGCACACTTTACTGTGAGGGTCCCCCAAATAAGACCTCTCCACCCTGGGGCCCATTCCTAATTGTTTCTGCAGGATTGGTAGACGCTTACTTGTCCCTTGAAGGCGTGCACACCCTCTGGGGATTTTGTAGAGTCAGCTGCGAGTTATCCTAAGAGTTAGAAACTGGTATCACCCTTCCCAAATGTGTGACCTCAGGCTCAAAACTAAACTCTTCTGGGCTTCTCTTTTTTCATCTGTAAATTGTGGTTGAAAATAGTTCCTCCCTCACTGTGAAGATCTAAGAAAAGATACATGTGGGGACTTCCCTGGCGGTCCAGTGGTTAAGACCCTGAGCTTCCACTGAAGGGGACACAGGTTCAATCCCTGGTCGGGGAACTAAGATCCCACATGCTGCACAGCCAAAAAAGAAAAAAAAAAAAAAAAAAAAAGATACACACACCCCAATGTTCATGGCAGCATTATTTACAATTGCCAAGATACGGAAGCAACCTAAGTGTCCTTCACATGAATGGGTAAAGAAGAGGTGGTATATATATACAATGGAATACTACTCAGCCATAAAAAAAGAATGAAATTTTTCCATTTGCAGCAACACGGATGGACTTGGAGGGCATTATGCTAAGTGAAATAAGTCAGACAAAGAAAGACAAATACTGTATGATATCACTTATATGTGGAATCTGAAAAATACAACAAACGAGTGAATATAACAAAAAAGAAGCAGACTCACAGATATAGAGAACAAACTAGTGGGTCCAGTGTGGGGAGGGAGGGCAAGATAGGGGTAAGAGGTTAAGAGGTACAAACTACTAGGTATAAAATAAGCTACAAGGATATATCTTACAACAGGGGAACATAGCCAACATTTTATAATAACTATAAAGGAGTATAACCTTTATAAATTGTGAGTCACTAGATTTTACACGTGTGATTTATATAGTATTGTCAGCAACTATACTTCAATTAAAAAAAGAAAAGATCCAATGAGTTCACACATACAAAGAGTTTGGGAGAGGACCTGGCACAGAACAATTGCTCAGGTGTTGTGCTCTCAGGGAGGTGGCTATCACTATTTCATCGTCATCCGTGACTCCTTCCTCCTCTTGCTACTTCCTCCCAATTCATTACTAAGCCCTGATGAATTAACCTCTCCAACCAGACCACTTTTCCCTCATCACGCCCTCTGCCCCAGTCAAAGAGGCAGCAAAGCATAGATGCAAATTACATGGATTCCAGGGTCAGGCTGCAAGTGTTCAAATCCTGGCCCTGCTATTTCCTGGCTGAGTGACCTTGGATAAGTCTTAATGCCTCATTTTTATCTCTGTACAATGGAGATGATAGTAGCGTCTCCTCTTGAAAAACTGCTGTCAGCATTAAATGAATGAACATATATAAAACACTCAAGACAGCTTCTGACATATATCAGATGCTGTAATTAATAACATAATTATCATATAATATAATTATCGATATCATATAATACTATAATTATCATAGTACTTTTAAATAATTACTAATATAATTAATATATAACAGCCGCCTCACTGGCTTCTGTCTTCCACTCCACCTCCCTGTAATCCATTTTCCATGCAGCAACCAGTGAACCTTTTAAAATGTCAATGAAGACACTGAAAAGTCAAAGCAAACAAATTCAACTTGTGGGTCTTGTTTAAGTACTGACTGAAACAAACCAAGTGTAATAAAAAGATTTTTATGGGATATGAGGTCTGGTATATAGCTTCAAAATCATCTGGGAGGAGTGAGTGGGGAAATGAGCCCAAATAATCCTTCCGTATAACTCCCACGGCTCCCAGGGTTCGCCAGACCTTGTGGATTATCAGACTGAAGACCCACCCATGCGGGGGTGGTTTATGGGCCCTTCACGGTCATTCCTGTACGGGGCGGGAAGGTGCACCATCACTTCCCGGGGGAAGGGTGCCAAGCAAGCCACCCCGGGCCTGGCACCAGGAGCTCCAGCGGGGAACAAGGGGGCCCGGGCACCTGGAGACCGCCGCCCTCCCGGCCCCAGGGTCGTAGCATTAGGGTGGGAGGGGCGGAGAATCCAGAATCACCCAGCAGCGAAGAGTGCCGGGCGCTGTGCAAATAACGTGACTTTTACTGGGCATCAGCTCGCTCTGAACCCGTCCCGCTCCCTCCCTCTCTCGAGGAAACAGCTAGCCTTTACTTGCCAGTGCCTTGAGGGGTAGAATAGGCAGCGGGCTCTTGAAACTGATTCGGGAGACGGAACTCAAGCTCCGAGCGGAATTCTCGAAAAGAACGGGGACAAACAAAAGGGAAGTTGTCTCAGAAATCTCTTGAGTTAGGTTTTCCAGTGTTAACTCCTGCACGTGCTTGACTCCAGTCAGCCGCCGTAGGCCCTGCAAGCCTCGGCACACTTTCCTCCGGTCCCTCAGCCGGTATTGCTCACCAACTGGCTTGCCTTGCGCACCCACCCCCTCCTTCCATGCCGTCTCCCCCGCTGCAGCCTCCGCG